GGCCAAAGTGATTTCTGGTTGTGAGGGAGTGAACAAGTGAGCATCCTTACGACTTGGAAGGAGCTCAGTTCTTGCTTGCTGAGAACTCTGGAGACACAGAATGGGACAAAACAAGTACAGAAATGTATCACAGTGTGGGAGCTGATAAGAAGATGGCATACTCCTGTAAATTTCAGCTATTTAGGACATGGCCCATAGGCTGTGGGACAAGTTGTATGCAGAAGGGGGTAAACCTGGATGCAGGAGAACAAGAGGTTTTCTCTAAGATCTGTGTGTATCTCCCACTCGGAGGCAATCATACATCAGCAGATTTGTATTCTGATGATGGAGAGGTGAACCCCAGTGGCTTCTCCACAGCTGTGATTCTGCCCCTCATCTTTCATGGTCATGAGTGACCAAACGGCCTCAGGAACAGCAGCACAGTGTTAAAAACTGTGAGAGTTTACAGAAGTCTACAGCAGACCCTCTTCTGCACTCTTTTCAAGAGGAGGGAAAAACAGTTCAACAAAAAGGTAAAGATGGGACACCCCCCTGCCTCCAACCCCAGTATTTTTTCAAGGTACAAAAGGACTTCTAAAGAAACTATCCCACCTCCTGCAGAACAGGACAATTGAACTCTGACATCCGTGATGAATTTCCAAATGAAAATTTATGGATTTTTTAGGAATCTTATTTTGGGGTGTGGGGAAAGAAAGGAGGAAAGAAGGAAAGTAAGTTCCATGGAAAGCTGCCATTCTTCATTGAATCAAAAATAGAACTTCTTGGAAGTTTACCAATCAGGCATTTTTATGTGGAAAACATTAACTCTGCAGATTGGGCACTGTCCAAGTTAAAATACACACCGGTTTTGGACAGGAATAGAGTTAGGGGTCTAGATGTATTCCCTCTCAAATATGTGCCAAACAGTCCCTGCTATAGCAGGACGTGAGACACTCACAAAACCTGTTACTTTTCTGGAGCACGTTATAAGTCTGGCTTTAGGTGTCCAACTGTGCATCCACAGGGTTTCTGGGAGGTCTTAGGGAGTCCTGGAACGTAGCTTGCCTTTTACAGTCAGTGGAGATCCAGACGGTACACTTACTGGAGTCCCTGAGCTTTTTTTCTTTTTGCCTGAGTTTGACACCTGCGCTTGGAGAGATGACCTATGCCTGGCACCACACTTGCAGTGAGGGGACTGGAGGAAAGGGATGTCAGAGTGTGGTTTTTCAGGAATGATAACAGGACTGTTATCCAAGTGTCACAGTCCAAGTGTCTTTTTCTGAAGAATAAATCCATCTGTAGCACAAGTCAAGGCACAGAAGGAGCAGGAAACAAGCTGGGAAACTGGACATCCCCTGGGCTATGATGGAATTTGGCATTTTCTAGAATTTAAGGATCGCTACATTGATATCTACTAGGGATGGTGTTTCACACTTGATATTGATGCTTGCCATGATTCTTTGGGCAATGGATGAGAACTGGAAATGGGAACAGTTTTTAGCTTAGGAGGCTTCCTCCTCCCACTAAAACGTCCAAGACTTAACCTTGCTCTACATGTGATCTCATGCATGGTAAGGAGAATTTTGAGGTTTTTTCTAGCCCTCTTCAAACTCTTCCTCTTTCTTCAATGCTTGTCATAACAGTATTGGATCACCCACCTTTTCCATTTGCTTCTCTGCATACACCTGCCCATGCAATTCCTCTGTGCTTCACCTTGTGCTGAATTTGATGCTGTTCTTGGTGAGTCAAATCCAACGAGGCATCGAGATGACCTGACTTTCACCTAAGGAAGGCATGGTGCTGACACTCCTCTTTGGTTCTGCACCATGAGAAAATCCTTTATAGGATAGGTTTGTGTTCCCTTGCTCCACCTGTCCTCAGTCTCACATTATTGCCCTTGGAGCCACACACTGCATGCACCCCCAGTGAGCAGGGCTTTTTCACCTGGGGCTGCGCTGAGAATACCTGATTGTTTCACTATAATTTGGATGGAGAAGGCTGTGTTCGTATTCTCGCCTGGGGCACAGCACAGCTCTTGAGCAGGACTAGTATTTCTGGTTTCTTCACAATACCAACTTTATCAGCCAGATGAAAGCTGAATTACTGAGTTTTTCCAGAGGGTCACAACAAGCTTGGCTAGAGCCTTGTGCCAGTTAGCTGTGTCCTCCGAGCGCCCATGGCTGAGGCTGCCCAGAACACAGCCACTGGTGCAAGCAGTCTCTCTCTCTCATAAACACATAGAGCAGCTCAGCATTCTCTTGCTTCTCTATTTTCATGCTCCAGTTGCTCAGAATGATGCCAGAAGCAGGACGGGACTCAGTAGGGCCAATACATATATGTCTGCATACGTATGCAGGTAGGTGTATACCTGTGTATGAAAAATGGACTAAGCGCATTCTTGCTTTTGAATAGTATAAAGCTAGCATTTTTGCTGGTGATAACTTCCAAAGGGTAAAGAGAAGTCACAGCAGAGCTGATCCAACATGGTGTCCTCACTGATGGGGCAGGAGAACTGCTTCATTCATACACCTAGCAAATGAACAGTTATGTGCCTGTTTGGCAGCCTGTCATTTAGATAGGGATAAGCTCCAGCAAGACTAAACCAGAAGCTAATGAGAGGGGGGAGACTGGGAATGTATTGAAAAATGCCCTGAGAAGGGAGGTAGAGGACATAGAGGAGCCAAGCTTGTCTCTCTGTCCAAGTATTGAAGTATTCAAGCTTGCAAGGACGCAAGTCATATGATCTGTGCAGGCCACAGGCACCTCTCCTGCAGAGAGGGCAGATGGTGCACTAGGTCAGGATGTCTCATGGAGAGAGGCTGAGCACTGAAAGAAGGATGGGAGGTTTTTAAGGAGCAGTACAACCCATAGCTCTGAGAGGCAGGGTCTGGCATGAAAGTGTGAGCAGACTGGGATGTTAGTTGCTCTGGAAGAGGTAGTACATAACAGCTGAGCAGAAAAGTTAAACTAAGTGTTTTTTATCCACTGAGAAAGTACTGGAAGGTGGTGGCTGATCCTTAGGAATAGGATTAGTGAGCCAAAAAGCAGCTGTGATTACAGGGCAGAAGCGCTATTGATGCACTTTCTCAAGGCTGGGCAAGTGCTTCCTCATGTCCTTGTCTCTAAACTCAGGGAGCTGATTCTCTCCTTTTTTTTGGCTGTCAACATATGCTGGTGTAAGCAGGTCTGTCTCAATGTTGTGCTAATGGCAGAGGAGTTTGTGGAGAAATGAGGGATAGGAAGGAGGTTTGTGAAATGGCTCATGCATTTCTGAGGTATAAGGAAAAGTCAGAGTCAACTGGGAACAGGTGTTTGGTTTTTGGGAACCCTGTGTGGGAGAAGGGTTTGGAGGACATCAATGGGGTTTTGAATGATTCTAGGCAGGTAGCTCTGGGTGAAGGAAAGGAAGACCTGCCTTTGGGAATTCCTGCTACGGCTCCTTCTGTGGCCACAAAGGCACAGTCATGCTTGTGGAAGCCACTGTAGCTACTGAAGGCTCATGACAGCTATGCACAGAGGACCCCAAGGGTCAAGAGGCAGTGACAGGAGCTGCACAAAAGCTCTAGATAAGACCAGCTTTCCTCCAAAATGCCTGACATCCAGGAACATGGTAACCAAGGTTGGTCATTTTAAGTGCAGCAGTATGGAACACCTTGAGACTGCTCCGAAGAAAGTTGTCAAGTCTAGGACATTGGCTGGGATCCACCGGAGATGACAGGGGCGTGCCTGCAGCAGGGTTAGGAGTGCCTGTGCTGTTATCTTCTGGTGGAAAGGGGTGTTGCTGCCTGCCTGCCAGCCTCTCACTTGTGTGGGAGGCACCTACACAAGGTGGTCTTGCAACACTGCAGGGGCAGAAATGATCAAGCCACCTGAGCTAGGTGTGAAGTGAGGCATCACAGAATAGCTGTGATATGGTCTGACACATACCTACACAATCCCCACATCATCAAACTCTACACCCAATGGACTTACTGTAACTCAAAGGAGGATTACTGACTAAGACCACATTTTTTTACTTTTTAAAGGAAAAAGCGGTGCCTCATCAAAAGACAGTGTAAAGCAAGAAAACCCAATAAAGTCACAGTGCCAGGAAGTACAGAACAAACCCACATCCCATTAGAACTAACATGCCTGTAGCTTTGCATCCAAAAATATTAGTCCATTTATTGCCCATTAAAAATTCCCTTTGTCTCTTCTCAGTTGTGGGGCATGCTTGAGATCTTAAAGATGGCACTGTCAGTCTTTAAAGTAATATTTGAGATTAATTTCCTCATTAACTTTCAAATGCAGGACACTTTGAAAACCTTTTCCTAAGGGCGTCCCTGTGTTCTTTCTGAGGGAGTTACTGTTGTTTTCCCACCTCCCCTGAAGGGTTGTTTATAATACCATCTCTCCCTTTTAATCCTCTTTTCCTTTCATGTCTAACAAACAGTGTTAAACAGAACACAGGGTGAAAAAGCAGATCTCACACATTATAATCATCTATAGCTGACTGAAGAAACGCTTCACAATTAGAGGTCTCGTTTTGTAAATTAATGCTCAAGAAGCTTTTTCCTATGTATTTTCCAGATCAAACCTCTGTTCTTGGGAGCTCAAGGTTTGTATGTACAGTAACTAAGATAAAGGGTTTCTGAGCTGATATGCAGTCTGTACAGACTGAGCTACTACAAACAGGATTTCTCTTATGAGATCCTGTACAGAGAGACGTCTACAGATATTCACACAGGAATATGGGCAGTACTGAGATGTTGAACTATGACAGAAAACATTACATTTCAAAACTAGCCACTGTTTCTGCTGTGTTTTTACAATATGTCTCGATTTTTCTAGCTCTTTTTGCCCTATATCTGAGCACTTTAAGATGTGAATATATTTATAGTCACAATTTTTCCATGGGGTGGTGTGGAATTCCACATTATACAGATCTGAGAGGCTATAGTTTGATGCTGCACTTCTTTCAGCAGCAGCGCCAACATAAGCATCCCTTGATTCCCCTTTCCCCTCTCCCACCACTCACTCACCCCTCAGCTGTGCCAGTTTCAATGCTGTGTGGGAAACAAATCACAGAACACATCCAGGTTAAAAATAGCTGAAAAAGAGAGAGAGACAAATGAATTCCAGAACCTAGACTAATGTCCTACATGTACATCCAAAGCTGATACAACAAAACCTTTTTAGCTCAGATTCAATCTGTCTGTCCAGCTCCATCAATAATTTTTACCTGATTTCACAAGGGAAAGGTAGAAGTTTCAAAAGCTATTGATTTCTTTCCTAAATTTTGTGCAAACTGATGGTTGGGTGAGGGATAGAGACCTCAGTTAAAGAATTGCAGCCAGCAGTCACCTGGCTAGTGAGTATGTGCATGCTGGCTGGCCACGTATGCACTAGCTGGTCAGACAGCATATATGTACTTGCCTGCAGCCCAGTAAAGGATCTTAGAGCACAGAGTAAGGCAAGAGTTGGGCTTGTTGCAGTCATTTTATTTTAGGAGGAGAGGAGAGAAGGGAGATGACTATGAAGCCATGGTCACAGACCCACAGGAAACCAAGAGCCATTAGTTCCACTGCTCGCAAAGCAATTCGTTTCAAAAAACCCTGAAATTCTACAAAATAAGACCTCTTCTTCAAGTGAGACAGTAAATCATACAATTTAGGAGGAAGCTGAGAGCTCAGCCTAACATTCCTGTTCAGACTTCAGCAACCACTTCTGCTTTTAGCACTCCAAACACCAGTGGAAACCACGGATACTGATTTCTTTCCCATAGTCAAATATCACTTAAAGCCCTTATTTCTCCTGAATAACTCTTTAAGGCATTTGCCTAATCTCTGTTCCTACCTGCCTCCTTTCTAATCTATAAGAGCTTACCATGAGCTCTCCTCCATTCTCTTCTTTTGTATCCTTCATGCTTCTCCTCTGGCCAGTGAATGGCCTCAACTTTGGTACAGGGTGGTACACAAAATATTCAGCGAATTGTATGTGAAAATTATGAGTATTTTGGTGCAAACAAAAGCTGGCTCCTCCCCACCTCTTGGCAGAGGGAAGAGACCTTGCCACTTTTGATGACCTGCAGAGGGGACTGGGTAGAATGGGAGTCACAGAGGGGTGTGGGAGTCATGAGGCACCCTATGAGCTATTGCTGCAGTCCATGGACAGAAACAGAAGGGTCTTTATATTCCTGTTCTCATGCCTTCTTTTCATCAGTGCTCCCACCTGAGAGTGTCGCCATCAGCTCTCCAGCACTTGAGGGTGTGCCCTCTGCCATGCCCAGGAGACCAAGTGCCAAGCACGCAGTGTCTGGTTGCACATGCAGGATGCAAGTGGAGCTGTGTGGCTGCTTGCCCCTCCCCTCTGCTTGAAGGGAGCAGCAGACTGTCCCTGAGTCAGAAGCAGACACTGTCCTTAGCAGAGAAAGCTTTCATCAGAACAAGTCTCTGATAGAAACTGTGTCTATTCCTATCATTTGTATGTTTCCCCAGTAACAGAAATTATCATCACCATAGGCAGGCCTTGGGCTTCTCCAGGTGGGAAACCAGAGGTTTTGGGCAACTAGGGATTTTCCTGGTGTGGGAAATCCCTGGGTGGCAATAATCCAATGTATTGAGCTCTATGCCATCCCCGCTGCAGGCACTCGAACATTACTGGGAGTTGCACCCAGTGTGATCTGTCTGCAGATACTCCAGTCTCACCACAGCTATGGAGTGAGGTGTGACGGGAAAGACCTGAGATGGCTCTCAGGGAATCTGCATGCATTAATTCCCATGTCATTGCATACCTCTGAGTTTGCTCCAGTCTGCGCACTGGGTTAGCTGCTAGAGCTCAGCTCAGCTCCTGCAAGAGAAGTGTCCTCCTAGACCTTCCTAGCACTGATTCCACTTCCAGAACTAGTTTCTGTAGGGAATTCTTTTCCCCCCAAATGGAAGAATACAACCATTTTGCAAAGGTGACACTGGGGACCTGTAAAGGAGATCTAAAGCAGAAGCTAGGGCTGCCTTGCTTGAAGGGAATGCTAAAAGGTCCCAACCTCTCTCCTCACCAGACACAGGAGTGTAGGAGGTGCTGGTGAATCGCTACCAACATGGAGCAGCCTCATGCAGAGTGGAGCAGCCCTTACATTGCTGTAAGTGATGTTAGGATCTTACTTTATCCTTCGGCAACTACGGAATTTGGGGAAGTGGTGGCAAGGGATAATGATCAGAAAGCTGGCAGAACTTCTGTAATTGGTGTATCAAAGGTCCTTTTCCTCTCCTCCAGTCACATTTTAACAGTACCCTCTTTTATTCTATGTGTCAGTAAACAACAAAATTATTACTGATAAAACTTGCCTGAAGCAACAAGACACATGTGAACAATAAAGCACTGAGAGCCACATTTTCAAAAGTGTGTGTGCAGAAATGTCTATTGTACAATGTATAAGCAGCATGTGGTCTGGATGTGGCAAGCAGCAACGAGAGAGGAAAAGGGGAACAGATGGAACCTGTACATGAGTGACAAGAGCGGACGTAGGCTCAGATCAAGTTTTGTACTGTGTAGAGGCTGAGCTTTTGAAAAGCTTTAAATAATAACCACATTTTAAGGAGGACTGCACTAATGGGGCATGCAGATAAGTGCCCTGAATGGTGGAATTGCAGAGGACACAGCAGTGGAGACAATGATATACACAGAGCATATGAAAAGTTTGGTCTGACATGCTAGCCATGCATACAATCAAAGGTGTGCACGTTTCAGAAACATCAGCCTCCCTGAAACCTCAATGACTTAGCAATAAAACATCAGGAAACAATAAGTCAGGGTCAGAGAGGTCTGAGAATTCCACACAGCTGAAATAAAGATTGAGCAAGAGGAATTAGCATCAAGAAATCAGATTCAGATGTTTAAAGCTGATTGTCTGAACCAAGTTAATATAATGCACCATGTGTCACTTCAAAACGTTCGGAGCGTGCAGCTGGGAAGCCCTTCCCATGATTGTGAAATGCAGCAGCTTGCTGTATCTGAGAAGGCTGGCGTAGACATGTCTGCGAGGAGGCTATAAATGATGAATTGGGATTACAGCCTTTACTATCCTGGTTGAGTTTTACCAGTTCTCTGGGCCACTAGCACAGAAAACAAGCCTGGCAGCAAGGCCGTATGAAGCTCCTACCTTCACATATTCTGGACTTGCCCTCTCTCTCTTTTCCTCTCCCCATGGACTGAAAATGCTTGTGCTCTTTTAGCCAACTGCAAAGCACTCTGATGATCAGCACCCCTTGCTCTTGCTTTCATTCTGTTTAAAAGAACGCCTATTCAGCTATCCAGTCTTTTCAAGGAGAATTATCCTCTCTCCATTCCACCAAGTCTAGTGTTGGAGTACACAGCTCTAGAAAATTATATTTACAAACCATCAATGCTATGGGACAATCACGTTTTCACTTGTCTTCACACAGGTGCAGAAAGAAGCCTTTACCTGCATTAATGCAGACTAGCACAACAAACACCTCTGTGGGACACTGCAAGTCTGCAAAACTTGCACACTTTCAGTGCTAATTTTTTTATTCTTGGGTAGGTTTATATCATTCTACAGATACACATCTCCTTCAGCCTAGCAAAGTAATCCAAAAATCCAACAGTGTCCACCTGAAAACCACACCTTGTGGAGAATAAGAATCCCATAGGTATGAGGGTTTTGCAGGATGGCAACTTGTTTGGTTTGTGGATTTGTTAAATTATATAGCTGGTGGGAGTGGCTCTTTCCTGTGACAAGATCAAACACTCATCAGTCCTTGGGTGAGAAACTAATTAAGCAGAGATCAGCATAAATTCTATAACAATACTCCTCCATGAACTATCTGCTCAAGGAGATCCATTCTGGATTGGGGTGAAGGTGTACATACAGAAATATTTGACAATACAAGTATTAGGCTTTCAGATCATAGATCTTTTCCCCTGCTCTATTCACATGCATTTTCAGGGCAGCTGGACGTGCATTATACAGTTACAGGCTAAAACTTTTTCTGGTACATCTCTGTGACACTAAAGACAAATGTGACACTGTGATTTATCTTGTGAACAAAACAGACTAGGGTGTGTTCTGTCCCCCATCAGCAAGTGGCACAGCAGAACTTTTATATATGGTAAGCTCCTCTCCCACAGCCACCCCAAAACAAAAAAGGGTGGCCAGCCTGAGGAACAGCATCTCAGGAAGCACTCAGAGGCAAAGGGCAGAGGTGTGTCAGGGAATTCTCGAACCCAGGCCTTCTCCTGGAGCAGGTACAGCCAAGACAAAGTCACTTCTTTCACTCTAACTCCAGTACTTGCTGATTTCAGAAGACTATGTAAAATTCAGTGTCTTTTGTCACTTGAAGCTGAAGTGCACGGTCTGGGTTTTCCACCCATACTATGGGATGTTGGTTGGGGTTTTCTCTGTTGCCAACAGCTTGAAATTTCCATTTGCAGCTCCTTCCTGTTTCCTTTTCAGACATGCATCATACAAACCCAGAAAGGCTGCACAAGTTTACCAAAATGGTGAAAAGAGAGAACATTCCTTACCACAATGAAACTTTTAATGTGCCTAGTCAACACTGAAGCAGCAGAGGCAGACCTGGGCAGGCGTTTCCTGATGTTCTGTCAGGTGCCCATAACCACATCCTGAGGATACATACCTTGGTACCAATGGCTACCTGAAGTCCATGTCCAGAGCTCCCATCCTTCCTGGAATGCCACCCAGCATACTCAGACATCAGCACTTAGGGACTGGGAAGCATGCAGGGGCATTTTTTTAATTTAAAATTTGCAGCACTACTGCTGCCTCAAAGAGAGTTGGGTCATTTACTGCAAGTGCTGAAAAGGACTGTGTATGTGATGGGGTGGCATACATCTCATGTGCCCCCAGCATGGGAAGAAACATCTAGGAGAGGTCTACTCCCATTTCATAGGTAGACCCCACGGGAAGTTGGGACTTGCTACCTAGAGCCTATACCTGCCCACAAGCCTCACAGTCCTGAGATGCCCTGGCCATATGGCACCTAACTATGTCTGGGGACCTCAAAGCCATACAGCACCTCACTGTGCCTGGCAAAGAGCTGGTGGAGCCCGTGGCACTGTTCCACCTTACTG